CTTCTTCTTCTTCTTCATTCATCCATTCATACACACATTCGCACACTGATGGTCATGAGCTACGATGTAGCCACAGCTGCCCTGGGGCGCACTGACAGAGGCGTTCCACTATTTCATTCAGTCATTTGTTATTCTTCCAATTAATTACTAACCAAAACCTCATGCTTTATGCAAAACATGTAATGATTTTCAGGATACCAATCTTTACAGAAAACATAAAAGCCCTAAAAAACTGCACATTAAATATATTAAATAAAACAACTTTCACTTATCACTTAGAGCAGTAGTTCCCAAACTTTTCAGCCTGACCAACAGATGTTCCTTCATATTTTTACGTTACTTATAAATTTTCATTACATTTGGAAAGTTTATATATATATATATATATATATATATATATATATATATATATATATATATATATATATATATATATATATATCTTTTTAAATTTTATATTTTACTTTTTTTATGATTATGTGGCACACTTGACTTCCATACATCCATACATCATTTCTACATCCATCACGTCCCAGAGAAGGTTAAACCAACATCAAACCCAACGTTTGGAGCTTGTAAACTCCACACACCTCTCGTGCAGCACCAGCTGTCTGATGCTGCAGCAGCGTCAATCTTCCCGGCTGGATGAGTGAATTTCTTCATCAGAGTCAATATTCTGCTTCATAATCAGAGTCAGTCATTACCAGACAAAGTGATCAGTCAACAAAGACCAGACCTGCCAGCAATTATACGTTTTATCTAACATTTGCCCTCTTCATGCTGTGCGCATCTCCTCCTCTCCCCGACTGGGAGCCTCTAGGCGGGACTCGGGAGGCATTTTTCAAACTCTAAAAACTCCCAAACTTTGCTCAGCCTGAAGGTTACACATCTCCACTATCTTCTGATGTAAAGTAGTAACTTCATGAGGGATCATATTTGTATATGAGACTTGTTAAAGTCAGCAATGAGGCTTTGGCGCTTTTAACCAACATGCATAAACAGACAGATCGGTCCCGCCTACTTACACTGTTGGTCTTTTTTAAATACGCAGTAATCGTTGCTTGCCTTTTTCGCTTCATCCTGCATCCTAGCAGCAACCACTTTGGCGCCTCTGGAGTCGGTGTTTGTTTACGTCATGCTGCATTCAGGGTAATTGGAAAAAGGAGCTTCAAGCGCGTAACCTCCGATTTTGTTTTCTCTCTGGCCTTAGTTGGGGGGAAAAATCAGGGTCGATCTGAATCTGGGGGGCACAGATCCTCCCGTCCCCCACCCTATCTGCGTGCCTGACTGTCTTATTGGGTGACCCCTCCAGGAAAGGTGACAGGGTTGATGATCTGTTGAGGTCCACGTGGCAGGGGGTGAGGTGTGGAAGAGCTGCCATTTTGCATGTCAAGGTCAGGGTTCTTAGAGTCTTCTGAGTTCTGACTGGAAGATCAGACTTTAAGGGGAATTTCATTTTATTTTTCCTACTCAGAAGTAGTGATTTCCAGATTCTGAGATTAAGTTGAATGCACCATTGCTTCATGATCTCATCAAACTCCTCCAAAGCCCAGTTTTTTTTTTGCCTCTGCAACCACCTGAGCAAAATTCCTCTTTGACTGCCAGTACCTATCAGTTGCCTCTGGAGTCCCACAGGTCAAAAAGACCCAATAGGACTCCTTCAGTTTGGCAGCATCCCTAACTGTTTCCTCTGGTGTTCACGAGTGTGTGTGTGTGTGTGTGTGTGCGTGTGTGTGTGTGTGTGTGTGTGCGGGTGATTGTATGTCCACTTTGGAAGTTGGGTGCGGGAGGGGAACTGTAATTTTTAATTGTTTTATACTTGGGGAGGGGGGCTGGGATGGGAATGTGGGATCTATGGGGCCATTTTAATCTGTAAAGCACTTTGAGTTGCATTTTTTGTATGAAAAGTGCTATATAAATAAAGTTGATTTGATTTGATTTGATAACTGCCAATGTCTACCATCAGATTCGAGGGTTGCCACCACAACAGGCACCTACAACCCTGCGGACACAGCTCCGATCGGCTGCCTCGACCATAGAGACACTGAACATTACCCCCACCAGAATTCTTTTTGGAGTACCAACATATTCCTTTTTACAAATGACACAGGGGCAGAGTCAACACAAAGAAAAATCCTGCTCTCAGATGCTTTTTTCTAAATGTGCTGCCTTACTGCTGCTATGTGAGGTTCTGTTAAAAATGTGTCCAGAAATACCTTGATTACATCTCTTTCCTTTATTAATGAAAATATTGACTAAAAGCATGAGCAACATTGATTTCATTCTGCCTATCTGAACATGGATGACATTTTGATCAAATTTATGATAATAAAAAAGAAGAAAGCTGATTGGTGGATCAGACCAACACCATTGTTATTATCTTGAAGTAGGCAAAGCCAAATAAATAGCATTCATATCTTTTGCGGGGATGTTATTATTTTCTGTGTTAGACATTTTCTGTTAGCAAGACTATTTTAACTTTAACTATTTCTTATTGCAGGTGAGACAAAAGCAGCCCTGTCGCGCCCACAGCGCCCCCTTTCGGCCCGGACGGCCCACCACGCCCCGGCGCCTATAAAAGGGTACCATGTCAGTCGTAGCATGTCTCAGCATTCCTCTGGTGGTGGTGGAGGAGGAGGAGGGCCCTGCCACTGCACTCCTGAGAACTGTGACGGCTCGGGCAGGGACTACTACCACGGTCACAGTGATGGCCACTATTACCAACCAGGAGGTCCAGCTGAGGCTCTGGCGCTGGAGAGGCATCACTCACATTCACATTCACACTCCCATAGCCACTCTGGAGGGGGAACCTTTCCCCGATCCCACCCCAGCCAGCACCCACCCCTCCAGTCATTTGACTCTTGTGAAGAGTGCCTGTCCTCAGGCCATGGAGGAAAGATGCATCGCATACCTCCAAACCTTATGGACCAGTTTGAGAAGCAGGTTCCCTTCCATCCAGATGGCTTCCACACACTGCAGTACCAGCGCACTGCAAGCAGAGGAAGTGAGCCAAGAAGCGAGAGCCCATCGCGCATCCGCCATTTAGTCAACTCTGTGCAGCGCCTCTTTGCCAAATCTCATTCGCTGGAAGCACCATCCAAACGGGAGTACAATGGCACAAGAGGAGGTGGAGACTATCGCAGTGAGAGAGGAGGTGGGCACAGGAGTGGAGGGGAAGATGGCCACTACTCAGGCCACCAGTCTCGCTCCACTAGGAGGAGCAAGTCACGAGAGCGAAGCAAGAGTGGAGACTCACGTCATGAGTCAGGCAGACGCCACCGCAGCAGGACAGTGGGTTGGTGGAGCTCTGATGACAACCTGGACAGTGACAGCAGTTTCTTGGTAAGCGGGGGCAGACGGGGGTATCCCAGTGGACACGAGAGCCTGGATGCTGCCATTCAGGAGCTCACCATGAAGAAACCAAAGGAGCGTGGTGGCGAACCTGGGTCCGGTGAATGCATAGCATGTACTACTATGGCTCTAACTGGAAGTGAGGGAGGAGAATACCACGGGCACCATGGTCACTCTTTGAAGAGGAGCACCTGGTCAGCCATGACAGTTAGTCAAGCCAGAGAGGTTTATCCTTCCACGAGGGGTGGCGGTTACGACAAAGCTCTGGTGCCCTTGGAGAGCAAGCTGAAGGAGAGAACCTTCCACTATCTGCAAGTGAGTGAAATTCAAAAAATTAACTAATTCATGTTTTCACCCCTTTTCTTTGTAATTCTACATTTTGAATACAATCGGTCACATTATTCGTGTGTATTGAATACAACTGCCTAACATTTAAACTCCTATGTTGTGGCGAACCTGCAGCATGATATTTATTTAGATCTGTCCAGCTTGGAGGTAAGGCATTGATTCCCAGCCAGGGGTATATGTACCCCTAGTGGTCTGTGAGCACATTACAGGGTGTACATGGAAACATTAATATTTCATTTTCCAGTCATTTCTCAGCATTCCCTGATAAAAAAAAGACAAACATTGAGCCAGGATGTGTTATTCTTAATAAATACCCAAATGTAGTAATGCATAGTAATATACAATTGATATGAAAGAACTTCAGTCAATCTGTGCATAAATGTTGTCAGCGTCAGCTTTGGAGGAAAGCAGCTGCTGCTTCCTCAGTAAAATATTTTGGGTGACATTAAAGTCATATCTGCATTAATAGATTGTTAACACAAATTCCCTTAAATGCTGTTTTTAACACACAATGAACACAGACTTTCTAAGTGTTTTAACTTCTCCCATGGTTTAGTTTGAACAAATTTCCTTCCCTCTTCCTGGAACCGTCACTTTACCAACGTGGAGGAGTTTGAGTGCCCTAAAGATCCTTGGAGTTATTTATCCGGGGGCACTTTGTGCCCCTGGTAGAGTACCTCATGGCAAATTGGTCCTAGGTGAAGTGAGCCAAAGAGCAGTTCAGAGGACTCTTCATGACTGTAAAACCAGACTACCAAAGCCAGAGGGGTACCGGGGTCCCGCTCTAGAGCCAGGCCTGGGGCCCGTGATTGAGTGCCTGGTGGCTGGGCTTTCACTCATGGAGCCCGGCCTGGCCTAGCCCAAACCAGATACATGGGTTCATCCAACTGTTGACCCACCACCTGCGGGAGAAACATGAAGGGTCCGGTGCATTATGGATCGGGTAGCAGAACTAAGGAGATCTGTGCCTACCGATGACGCTGGGCTGGGCGATATGGCCTAAAATCAGTATCACGATATATTGAGGATTTCACCTCGATAACGATAAATGGACGATAACTACAGGTATGCGCAGAAACAAAAGTTGTCACTAGATGGGGCTGTCACGTGTATTATGTTGAGTTACATTTTTATGTGACTCAAGGTGGTACAGCTTCTTAAAAGGGCATGAATGTTGCCAACATACACACATCTTTTCATTTTTTTTATTATCAAATTTATTGACATGGGAAAATTTTTCTCAATGAGAGTCAGAAATTTCGATAACGTTTCTTTTTCGATTTATTGCCCAGCCCTACGTCACACTATGGCAAAACCACACAAACCACGTTGGGACCCATTTTTTCCCCAGGTGAAGAGTTAAAATTAATATCAAATTCTGCCAACAAAAAGGCTCTAAAACAATTCATATGTAATATTTTGCATATTTATTGCAACATCTCATTTTTTCTGCTGCTTGAGTGCTGCAACAATGTTTTATTAATAAGACATTATAATACCTTTTGTTTTACTACAGCATCGGTACGCTTCCTGTGCACAGATTATTAAGGATGCTTGTTTCAGCTGTGAGATTAGATGATAGGGTCAATGATAAAAAAAATTAATAAAACGTTTGTCATGGACTCCATGGAAACTTTCAGAGAATCCACAAATAGAGGTTTTCAAACGGTTTTGTTACTGACAGATTTTTGTGAATTTAGAAAAGAAACAGAAGAAAGAGCATGTATGACAATTTTGTTTTTCGTCGGACAATATTACAACATGTCAGTGATGTCTGAGGTGTTTTTATAAAAGCTGTATAATTAACACTCCTGGACAGGGTAGGAATTACACAGTGGCTTAACACAACATGTTTGAAATCAAAACTCTCAAAACACACATTTCATTCTACAGGTACAAACCTCAAATCTACAGTGTTGCAAATAATTTTGTCTCAATTCTAGCTTCGGTGGGAGGAACTTGGGTGGAACCAATGAGAGCACGAGTCTTCACTACCAATCACGTTTCTCGAATTCCTGTCCAATCATTGGGAGAGGAGGGCAGGGTTCTGTCAGAGCTGTAGAGAGTTATGACACTCATAGACTCCTATGGAAAGAATGGAATGGAATGGAATGCGGAAGTCACGTGACACACAGCTTGTCAGTAGGTCAAATATCACCCAATAACAATAATAGAAACATAATAATAATATAGTAATGTAGCATCACACTTTATAGCGTAACGACTGCATATTTGATTATGACCAATAAGATGTGATGATTTCATATAAATATGAAATATCAACCTGATTGATCTTTGAATGTCTAACCAGAAGAGTTTAGGGTTCTGTACTTGTTCAGGGACCATAAACACACTTCGTATTAATTCAGGCAGAGTCAAGTATATAGTTAAAAGGAATGTTATTCTTTTCTAAACTAATGGTAATACATGACAAGCTATGAGTAACGATGGAAATAATTCCACTATCTAGGTGGATTTTCTATAGATGACAGGTCACTATTGTAAAGTCCACAAATGGTCAGTTTTTCGTGTACAGTTGACCTCTTCTGGTCATGTGGAGACAGGAGTCTGCATGTGTCGCCTTTAGTCTGCCGGATCCTGCATTCCATCAGCTGGAGTTCAGAGCCTCTCTTCAGCTCTGAACATCATGTTCCTTCCTCAAAGCCTCAACTACTACTCGAGGATGAGGAGATTCAGACTCTCCAGGATGAGGGGACAAAGACTCTCGAGGAGAAGGGGTCAAAGACTCTTGAGGAGAAGGGGACAAAGACTCTCGAGGCGAAGCCTCCTGGACGGGCTAGTGCGCCAGGGGCGGAGCCTCTTAGACAGGCAGGGCTGAAGTGACTGGAGGCGGAGCTGCTGCAGGCAGAGCCTCTTGGACAGGCAGGGCTGACTCGACTGGAGGCGTAGCCGCTGCAGGGGGAGCCTTTTGGACAGCCGGAGCTGGGGGAGCCTCTTAGACAGGCGAGGCTGACTCGACTGGAGGTGTAGCCGCTGCAGGGGGATCCTCGTGGACAGGTGGGGCTGACTCGACTGGAGGTGTAGCCGCTGCAGGGGGAGCCTCTTGGACAGGAGGGGCTGACTCGACTGTTGGCAGAGCCGCTGCAGGCTCTTGGACAGGCTGGACCGGAGGCTCTTGGACAGGCGGGGCTGACTCGACTGGAGGTGTAGCCGCTGCAGGGGGAGCCTCTTGGACAGGAGGGGCTGACTCGACTGTTGGCAGAGCCGCTGCAGGCTCTTGGACAGGCTGGACCGGAGGCTCTTGGACAGGCGGGGCTGACTCGACTGGAGGCGTAGCCGCTGCAGGGGGATCGTCGTGGACAGGCAGGGCTAACTCGACTGGAGGCGTAGCCGCTGCAGGGGGAGGGACAGCCGGAGCTGGGGGATCCTCGTGGACAGGTGGGGCTGACTCGACTGGAGGCGTAGCCGCTGCAGGGGGAGCCTCTTGGACAGGCGGGGCTGACTAGGCTGTTGGCAGAGCCGCTGCAGGCTCTTGGACAGGCTGGACCGGAGGCTCTTGGACAGGCTGGAGCTGACGACGGTTGTGACGCCGTCGACGAGCAAGGCTGATCGAGGGTGCAGGGATGGTGCTGGTAGAAACAGAGGAGGAATGACGGCCCACCGGAGAGGATGCGGCAGCGCAGTCAGGAACAGGCGAGGGTGTGGAAGCTCGGCCCAATGGAGGTGCCGCGATGGCGCCAGCTGAAGCAGAGGGTGATGAGGAGTGACAGCCCACCGGAGACGGAGAGGTGGCGCTTTCCGGACCAGGTGAAGGTGTGGTGGCTCGGCCCATCGGAGGTGCCGCGATGATGCCGGCTGAAGTAGAGAGAGATAAGGAGTGACAGCCCACCGGAGATGATGCGGCAGCACTGTCTGGAACAGACGAGGGTGTGGAGGTTTGGCACATCGGAGTTGTGGAGATGCGTATGGAAGGTGGTGGTGGTCTGCAGCTGAAGGTCACCAGCAGCTCCTTTGCGAACTGCCAATAAGAGACCTCTTCTATGGGGTGAATGTCAATATATTGGGCGGCCCACCGCAGGGCTCTGCCTCCCAGGCAGAGCACCAGGTAAACACCTTGTTAAACTCAGAGGAGTTCAAATCCAAGCAGCCAGCACAGTCCTGAATGAATGTCCAGCAGGTCTCAGGATCTCCATAGTGCCTATACATCTGGTGAGTCTGCTGGGTCCTGGGTGGTTGGGTCATTCAGTCACGTTGTGAGCCAGGAGGAGGTTAGGACCCAAAGATGCAGAGACTCCAGACGACACAGGGCATGTAGAAAAAAACATAAAAATCCTTTATTACAGAGTAAATCCAAAGAGGTAGGTAGCCAAAAACCAAAATCCAAAAAGTCCTAATAACAAAACCTAAAGAAATCCAAGAACGCAGAGACCAAGAGAGATTCAAATACCTAGAGAGGGGAACGAGACAAGGCTGACACAAACAATGACCCAACAACACACTGAGACGCAGACAGGGTTAAATACACTGGGGCATGATGAGTGGGAGATAAGCTGCAGGTGTGTGGGGAGAGAAACCTAGTGAAAACAATTAACTAATCAGGGAGAGGGGAGAGAGCTGAGGAGGAGAAACTAACCTTACGTAAGAATACAAACAAAACCTAAAGACAAGAAGAGCAAGATAAATGACTAATGATCTAAGGAGGAAGGAGAACTAAAAAACCGGTGGGGAAAGAAACAAACTAAAAGAGACTAATTAAATGAAAAGCTGAACCTATAGAAAAACTACAGAGGGGTGACTAGGGAAGATCAACGGGAGCACAGGACCTGGGGGGGGATACCTGGGAGGGAGAACCTGGAGGGGCTGCAGACCAGGGGACACATGAGGAACACAAGGAGACACATGAGGGAGACGCAGACGCAGACCATGACAGTTATGTTATTATTACATTGAAAGATTTATATATGGATCACTAATGTTTAATATGACAAGACCATCATCATCTACAC